CAGCCACAAGCCATTTATAAAAGTGAAAGCATTCCGACAACTACTTCCATTATAGCCGCCAACCTTTGGAAAATCTGATTGCAGCGTGAACCTTAACTAAAATCTTTATGACCAGATCTGCCCGATCGCTATTCCCCTTGTTAGGACCCGACCTAACTGCAGGAATAGCCGGTCCTACTACTTATGCAATACTTTAAGCAGATGGAAGCAGCCAGCATCACAGAACTGCCCCAGATGCGGACCACATTGTCCAACATCTCTTGTAATACGTCAGGTATGAGGCGACTGGTGCATTTTACGGATACTTAGACCTTCTGGTGATCATGTCTGAGCAAATAATCCTGCGCTGCCAGGTTTCACATTCACAGGAACTATACTCAACGCCACAAAAGTCCTTATGCAGCGCTTGCTACATCGCTTTCAAGTTGCGCAATGCGATGCCGACGGCTGAGGGGATCCAGCATACTTGAATTACTGGGGTGGCATCTTATGATCACCCGCTCCATCTCCAGGACATGAGTGTCTCGTGTAGTAAATACCAGGCTGTCGATGGGGCATTGGTCTACTCATAATCGTAGGAGTAGTACTCCTGCATCTACGGATACTACTCCCATGATTATTACTCCTGTTCCAATACCGAGTCATTAACCACGCACGTTCGGATAAAATATCTGTTCAACAGTCAACTTCAGAAGGTATCTTTCTCCAAGAAAAAGAAGGTAAAGCTCAGAGAAATGTCTGCCCCAAGAGATTACGGATAAGCCAATAATCTGAATGTGTTGCTGTACCCAAGAATCGAGATAATGCGGAAATTCGTATATTTAAACTACTTACTCCAGTTTGTTAGGAGATTTGGCACGAATGACATAGACTCGGGTTGTCTGATGTGCCTACGTTCCTGCTTAGGCTACTTAAACTAGTAGAATTGCTCGAATTATTGAAGCGGTCAAATTGCACAAAGCAGGCCTAAAAAGGATGGCCATAGACTTCTTTTCTTTGATCTTCTTTCTGCTCCAAAGATCAACCCATTCCACCGATTCGCGGATTCTATTTCAACTATTACATCAATAATTAACCTCATATATTCATTTATTTGTCCTCTATTAATCGATCAAAACAATTACTTCCCTCAGTATTGTATTCTTATATAATGCTCCTAACCCCAATATATAGGGACTCAACTCAAATGAATCAGAATCATCAGTACACTTGTATAGTCTTAAAGAAGTGCGTGTCCATATTGCACATTGGATGTTTGCTCGTGTTTTCCATCAGTGGAGCCCGTAATGCCACATCCCGGAGCCCCACCACCACCGCCTTTACAAATTTTTGCCTTATCGATAAATATGGCTTTTTTTTTTTTGGCGGGGGGTTTTATTAAGCGGCATCGCTGGTCCCCATCTCCAAGATCATTCCACTCATATCTACTAGTCACATCCATTACCTTACAAGGTTCGACGTCGAGTGGGTGTGTTGAGCGCCGTAGCATGTCATTCTGAACATATCGTGTCAACCCAAGAACTCATATCTGAATTGAATCGTTCTCGCACAGCTGAGGGGCACATATCGCATTATTTCAAGCGCCGGAATCGAGAGTTTCTTTAGTTGGTCTAGAAGAGAAGGACAGTTCTTTGCCATTTTGAACTTGACATCCTTTTTTTAGTGACTGGGACTCTTAAAAATGGCAGAGGCTCCGACTGCTTACCCCGCGTCATTAGACACGCTATATGATGAAGCGTCCTCGTTGAAGCAACTATATGAGCCTATCCAATTAGCAGATGCTGAGATAGTTCCAATCTTACAACTACCTCTCGCAAAGACTGTCTTTGGCCACGACTCGGCAGATGAGAGTTCTCTCGCTCGTGTATCTAGCGGAGAAATCTCGTATACAACCTTTTTGGCAAACAAGACTAAGTCTATATCTCACACGCAACCAGATGATTCTACTCCTGAACAGCGAAGTTCGCAGCTGCTTCACATTGGTCTAGCAGCACTCTTCAGCTTTCTTCAGTCTAATGTTACTGGACCTCCGCTTAGCTTCAGCCCTGCAGAGCTAATTATCCCGTCCACTCTGCGAACTGATCCGACATGTCTGAGAGCCGTTCGATCGCATATAATTCGTGATCTCTCAGTAGATGGCGAAGCTGCTTATAGATTGACTCCGAATGTGGAGCTTTTCGCTGTTGCGAAGGCTATCTTGGCCGACACTGATTTTCTACTTACGAATGGCCCGTTGGTTGCTAGGACGGCAAGAATGCGTGTCAATTTTCTTCACCAGAAGATGCTAGCAGAAATCACCGGTACGCTTCAGGATGCGATCTACTCCGACATGGAGCAGATTAGCAGCGTTTTGTTGAATGGAAATACTGCTGGCTCAGAGAAAGGGAAATTCCTACTCGAGAGAGCACTTATCCACACTCACCACGGTTTTGATTCCAAAGCCAGAGCCGATATCGATGAGGCCGCATTAGAACGGAACTTCAAATTTGCCCTAACCGGAAGGTTGGGCAAAAGAACCAAGTTCCAAGAACGCGATATCAGTCAACTCGTTATCATTGCGAAGAGTGCCGACGATGCAACGGATACGAACAACAGCACAGGTTATTTGGAGCCCTCGGGGCCGAAGAACTTAGACCTCAACGATGATACCCTTCTGGAATCTATATCCTTTACGAAGGATGAGGAACAACAGTCCCAGGGTAATCAAGTTACCATACAAGATGGGTCGACGCTGCCACCAGCATTGGCATCTCTTGATCCCGGCAATCAGCCGAAGCTCAGCCCTGTGGACTCCGCTATTCTCCTGGCTCTTGCGGCCGCGATAACTAATACTACACCCGAGAATGGTCTAACTCGAGAGGAGACACACCCCTACGCCACCCGAGTCCTTGAGGGCGGTAGCTCAAATTGGCAGATCTACACACAGGGTCTTCTAGCTCGGAGCAGAATTGAGGGCTATAGGGCTCGAACTGTGGAAAGATCTGTTTTACAAATGCAAGCTCTTGTGGATCAAGTCATTGCTGACACCGCTACCCTCGATAGTGAGGCTACTTCTACTGTCGAAGAACCTACTACATTCCTTCCAAGACCCGAGAAATCTGAATCCGCGTCAGCTGCAGAGAGACTCGAATACATATGGCTTCTGAGCTTCTCCACCAGGTGGGATCTCGAGGCGGAGCTGGCATCTCGTTGGGTCAATCTCGGAGGACTGCGCACTGCTCTTGACATTTATGAGCGTTTACAGATGTGGGCGGAGGCTGCGCTATGCTATGCCGCTACAGACAGAGAGGAGAAGGCTAAGTCCATGGTTCGCAGACAACTCTACGAACCTATGAACAGAGGGCTTGTAGACGGAGACGAGAAGTTTGAGGGGCCCGAGCTCTCGCCTCTCCCTGCTGATGCCCCAAGACTCTTCTGTATTCTAGGAGATATTGACTCAGACCCAACTTTATACGAGCGCGCGTGGGAGGTCTCGAATAACAGATATGCCCGTGCTCAGAGGTCTCTGGCTCGGCATTATCTCACGGTGAAGCCGCCTGCATTGGAGAAGGCAGAGGAGGCTTACCGCAAGAGCTTGGAAATCAACCGTCTTAACCACGGCGCTTGGTTCTCACTAGGCTGTGTACAGCTTGAACTTCAGCGTTGGGATGATGCGAAGGCCTCATTTACTCGGGCTGTACAATTGGAAAACAACGATGCTGAATCATGGAGCAACCTTGCTGCAGCTATACTACAAACACCTCAGCCAGATGAATTTACGCCTGCTGTTGTGGGGCGGCTGCCAGACGAAGAGGACGAACCTGAAACAGGAAAAACGTCGGAAGATCCTTACAAACATAAGCGCGAGGCCCTTGCAGCCCTCAGTCGTGCGGCTCAGCTCAAGAATACAAACTCCCGTATCTGGGACAACGTGCTTACGGTGGCAGCTTCAATCCCTCCTCCGTTTACCCCGTTCCGTGATGTTATTACCGCACAGAAGAAACTCATTGAGCTTCTCGGCGATAAGAAAGGTGAAAAATGCATCGATCTTCCGATCTTGGGCATGCTTGTCGACTACCTTACAACTGCTTACGAGTACGAAGAGCTTGTAATTGAAGTTGACAATGGCCCTGAGTCTCCTCAGAAAGTCATTCGCATTGGTACAATCGCTGGCCAGATTCTATCTCTGCTGGACAACTTGGTTGTGCCACACATCACCCACTCCGCCTCACTTTGGCTTCTTGTTGCCCGCGTTGAGCAATGGCGTGGGCGTCCGACGAAAGCCTTAGAAGCCCATGAGAAGGCTTGGCGTGCTGCCGTGGCCTCGTCAACACAGGGGGCATTCCAGATGGGTGATGAAAAGAAGTGGATGGAAATTGTAAGTGCCACCGAGAAATTGGTGCGTAATGGGTATTCTAAATACGGGCCTATGGACAAAGAAGGCCAGGAAGATGCAGGTGAAGCTGAGCTCGTTGCCAAAGATTGGAGGTTCAAGGCTCGTAGTGCAGTGAGAGGTATTCTGGGCAAAGGCAAGGAGTTCTGGGAAGATAGTGAAGGATGGGCGCAACTGAAGGAGCTGCAGAGCGAGGTTGGAAGCACATGAGCAGGCCTCCTATGTTATTATGTTTTCAATTCCATCATAGATCGGTACAAAAAATCCCATCCTAGAGACTACATACATTGCATCTTTCCCTTCTATATCCGAGTTCGGTCTCCAAATACCCCCTACGAAACACAGTATGAAAACCACTTCCGGAGCAAAATGGAGCCTTACTAAACCCAATTCTCGTAGGTTATAGGTGGCCATTTCTTAAGAAACATGCTGACTCCTTGTCAACAAGCAGAGGTCTGTAACGACTATCCGCTGAAAAGCTGCTGGATATCGAGGTTGACCACGGAGCCCCGGTACATGTACATAAATGCTTGCTCTACTATGAAAGGCACACGAGCTCCTTTCCACCAAGACAATCTTGGATGAGGGATCATTCCCAGGCTTGGGGGCATTCAGCCAACCTCAATCTCACTGCCTGAACATTTTGGCTAGAGTGTATGCAAAGGTGGTGGTCAGTCAGACCGGACTTCATCGAATTTGGGGATCTTGCCGGACTCGTAATGGGCTAGGAGTTTGTCCATATCCTGATCATTCATCTGGACAAGTTCGCCCAAGCTCCAGGATTCACAAACTCCAGACATCCTAGGTAAAACGTCAGTAGAGGATTGTAAGGTATATTGAGCAACTCACCATTTCATCCTTTTAGGACCTTCCTCTGCGGTGGGAGCTACCCCCCTTAACCTTTTCCGCAATTTGCCCACGTTCTCTATTGCTGCGCCCATGTTGTCGGGTAGAGTGTCGGCGATTTGCTTCCGTACCATACTTGCAAGCTTAGGGCCATTTCCATTCGTGCTGACCATCACCTGTAACGGACCATCCCGATGCACACTCCCGAAGTAGAAATCACATTCGGAAGGTACATCGGCGATGTTTGCGGGAATTCTCTTCTCTTTACACAGCTTCCATACACGGGTCGAGGCGTCTGGGTCGTCAATAGCACAGAGAACCATGTCTGCTCCTTCAACGTCTGTTGGTTCGAAGTTCCGATCGACATGAGATACTTGACCCTCGGAGACCCGAAATGCTACTTCATCATTGAGGCCAGAGGCAGGGCAGACAACTGTTACTTCGGCATCGGCGTTCAGGGCATGTAGTATGCGACCAGCGGCTACCTACGTTCATCATGTAATCGGTCAAAAAGTATTCCAAAAATATATATAGCAGTAATTGCTAGTTAAAGGTGCTTACCTCCCCACCTCCCACAACCAAGACATGTTTGCTTTTTACCTGCCAGGCAACAATGAGAGAGCCTCCTCCCTGGACTTCAGGAAATTTTCGCGACATATTTGAATTGGTGGAATTGGGCTTCGATTATCAGCAAAGCGGGGTTTATCGAAGTGATGTTGGCGGGGACTTCGGTACGTGGAGCAACAAAACCCCGTGACGAAAAGCTCTAGCTACTTTTCTCTCTCCAAAATTTTTTTTCCTTTCTTTCCCCTCGGTTGCTCATCGTGGGTTCCCCATCCTACCATCACCTTGACCCTTCCCCCAGTCTCTTTTCCATGTCTTATTCCAGCACATAATTGCATCACAATGCGGGGAGTACAAATTTTCTCTGGGACATCGCATCCCACACTTGCTAAGGTGGTCTGCGACCGGTTAGGGACTCAACCCGCCCGGGCAGACTTAGGTAAATTCGCCAATGGGGAGACAAGTGTGAATATTGGTGTCTCAGTACGGAACCAAGATGTCTATATTGTCCAGAGTGGCAGTGAAAAGATCAATGACAGTGTCATGGAACTCTTGATCATGATCTCTGCCTGCAAAGGAGGTTCTGCGAAGTCCATCACAGGTATGTTTCAACAAAACCTAGTCTTTCCGTAAATATTTTAGCTTGCTAACTTGCAACTTATTCTAGCGGTTATACCGTATGCTGCCTGCCTAGTTTGACTATCGCACAATTGATGCTGACCTAGCCGAGGTATTTCCCATACTCTCGCCAATCAAAAAAGAAGAGCCATCGTGGTGCCATCACCGCCCGCATGCTGGCAAATCTCCTCTCAGTTGCTGGAGTAGACCATGTGATAACATTGGACTTGCATGTGAGTCACAAAGCAGTTGGTGACAGTGTGGTGTCTTTTCCTGGACATATTTCTCATCAGGAAATATATAGGCATCCCAGATGCAGGGCTTCTTCGGCAAACCCGTGGACAACCTGTTTGCCGAACCCTATATCGCTCGTTGGATCCGCATGAATGTTCCTGGCTGGAAGGAGGCAGTCGTTGTCAGCAAGAATGCCGGGGGTACTAAGCGTGTTACTTCATTAGCGGACACCTTGAAGCTCAACTTCGGCATCGTCACTACCGATAGGCGGCGTCCCAAGATGAATATGGCTATGACAGACAGCACGGTCTTCTTTGATTCTATAGATGAAGATTGCACGCCCGTCCAAAAAGAGGACGATCCGTTTGTACTCCACGTACAGACTGGAAACCATGGCGATTCGCAAACCGAAGAGGTGCATAGGCTATCTGATAACATGGAATCATTGTTATCGGCAAATGCCTTGCTTCCGGATATCCTGACGGGTGCTCGACGCCCGTCAGAGTTAGAAGCTGCACACGGGTGTACAGATGTCCGAGTACACGACGTAATCACTGGGCGACTCGTAGAGGGTCACCTCGTCGATGATGATTATCCCCCAGTCGATTCTACGCCTGCGTCGGGAGACACTACCCCCGGGCATACTGTAGCAGAGAATGATTCTGTTCCTGACCCAATGATGGAATCGTTTGTCTCCAACACATCTTCTTTACCCGGTGACCATGCTCTTGGCGGCTCGTTTGATGCTGCTGAATCTTCTGATGAAGAAGGTAGTGTTGGACGAGCTGTCGAGCGGGAGAAGACCATTACTTTCGTGGGCGACGTCCGTGACAGGACTGTGTTCATCGTCGATGACATGATTGACAAAAGCGGATCATGGATTGCTGCTGCAGAGACTGTTGTGAAGAAGGGTGGCGCTAAGAAGGTTTACTGCATCGCAACCCACGGACTCTTCGGGGACAAATCCCTTGAGCAAATGGAAGAGTGCGACGCGATTGACTACATCGTAGTGACCAACACTTTCCCCATCTCGGAACAGATGGTTAAGAAGTCGAAGAAGTTGGTCGTCATCGATATATCGACTCTCATCTCAGAGAGCATTAGACGCCATCATTATGGTGAAAGGTAAGTTAATCCTTCAATCCACGGCTATACTGGGAAATCCTAACGCTTGCTGAAGTGTTTCGGCACTTTTCCATCTGAACGACTAACGTGTATTCTTCAACTGCACCTTTTTCTAAATCCATGCTTTTGGCCGGGGTAAAATCTCGCCACTGTGCCCACTACGGTAAAACATGAACTTGACGCATTGATTGATGATGACTTCAAGCGAGTAACGACCTGAAAAATGATGAATTTCTTATCCTCTATACCAGATGGCGGTTACTTGCTTTCACTTGGCAGTCTTCTGCTTTATCCCGTACAATTATGGCCGTACATCTCTCATGATACCTTAGGCGGTTTCTTTCTAACGAGTTTCAAAACCTTTGCCCTATCCGGGCGTCGATTCAACATACTTATCTCAGCCTCGCACAAACGAGCATTTCAGATCTCACTTCACAAATAGGAAGATCAGCCTCCTATGGCCACATATGACGTGGCTTCATCTTTGCCTTGTTACTTAGTCGTGCCTTGATCTCACTGGGAAGCCAATAGCCGGCAAACCATATTTTTCACTATACCAGCGATGCAGTCCACTTTGGGTACTGCAGGAACATCTTGCAAACTCACGAGATTGTTCTTAACGGAGCGTTGGGAGAGCAAAATCGGTCCTGTCTCGCAATCTGCTTCTTGTGTCAATCGGCACGGAAGTAGTTTGCTGCAGGACTATCGAGGAATGAAGGCACCAGTTTCTGAAATTTTCGTATTTCATGGCTTCGGCCAGTGGAACTGGTGCAAGAGAACATCTCGAACATTTCTGTATTTGCATTTTTCGTAGTTTCAAATCTACATAGGAAATATATCTATTTTGTGCCAACTTGCCAAGCCCTTTCTTCCCTCTCTTTGGCTGCACAGGCTGTGTCTCGCCTTTGCGTACTTGAGTAGATATTAGGGTCACTTTTTGGACTCCGCGGCCCTGGAATCATTGGTTTAGCATTGGCACAAGTAATGAGCCGAACTAGTTTTCGTTACTTGGAGTCAAGTAGACGGTGGATTTAGGTGGTCTGAGTTCATTGGACTGTGCCGTTCTAGACTTTGGCCAGAGAACTGTGTATGTGACGTCGCACAGTAGACCTCAGCTCGATTGTTGTAGCGGTGTATTTCGTATTCCTAGCGGTTGAACGAGAAGCCGTCTGATCCAATACAAGGTTGATCGGTATGCCTGCAAGCGATGTCATATACTGATCTTTGCTAGATATAGATTCATAAGAGAAGGTCTGACACGTCCAGCCATTCACTTGCTACAGCCATGCGGACACACAATGTGTCCTCGCACTAATCGAGTCAGTTTGAAACAGCGTCCTAACAAGACTCTATCTAGGAAGCGCAGGAGCACCGAATGGTTGTTTCTAGGGCACCGGTGACCACAAACAAGATCATGAGAATGTATAAAGGCACGACACTATTATTTCGAGTATTACGACATGCTATCCTTTGTGTAAAAAGGGAGATTAGAGAAAAGAGACCTGTCCAGCACAAAAGTACCAGCGGGACGCGTGGGTCATTGTTCGAAAAGGAACCAACTCCGCGGGAGACGGAGGGAGACACTAGCAAACCAACGTAACCTACCGGGGCACAGGAATACGGCGGGGAAGAGGATCCGGTAGATCAGCGCAGAAGTCGACCAAAGGTTCGCCTTTCAAAATTCAACTAGGATGTCACTGTTACTCAATTGGGCAACGGAATAGGAAAGGATTACGACTAGCTCGCTTCTGTGAAGGTTGTAAGCGGGCATGAGTGAGGATAACCACTGTCGTTTCAGAAAAGGACCATCCTCGTGAGAATCCAAACAGCGTCTACGTACAACCCCAATGTGTCTCAATACGGCGACCGGCGTTAGGTACCTCGTTAGTCTCTACGACGATTCGGCCTGAAGTGGGATTGATGAGATCTAGCGTCGTCCATGCGATGTCATCAATGGCCCTAGCGCTTTGGTGTGGAACACTGTCAGGCCCAAGAGGCTGGGTATTTGGGGCTTGGGACGCTGTGCGCACCGCGTGCGCATTTCTCTTCTCGGTTCGAGACCCAATTTTTCTTTTTAGTCTTTTCTGTCCTGCCAAAGTCAGGTCGCGAGAACTAATGATTTGCTGACAATTTCGATCTACTCGTTTTAGTGGTACGACTACCAGCACCCCGGGCTAGATTTAGGGCCGAATTAGCTTGCAGGACGGAGCTAGTGGATGTCTTACAACTTCGGCTGCGCGCTGAGGAATCCCCTGGTTTCCCGATTCTTGGAATTGGTCGACAGGTCAGTCTGCCGGATGTTAATTGACTGCCGGCTTTTTGGCTGGTGACATTTTACGACATGTTTGATGCCAATTGTTACCACCGCCCAACGAACAAGGTAAAGTGTCCGCCTCCACTACCCCTTTCTTGGGTCTCCGGGTGCACATCCTATGCGCTGGTGGCTTGACCACACTAAGCTGGTAGTTAACTCTATTCCCACTGGAAAGCCACCGACTCACGAACCCGGTTGGCGGGTCAGTGGATCCCCTGCAATTGTCCGTCGCGATCAGCTAACTAAGATCGGCGCAAGAGCCAGAGAGAGAGGTAAGGAAAAACACAAAAAAAAATCAAATTCGACAGAAAAAAAAAGATACGAGAGAAGAATTGGCGCCAGATTATGCAATAATCCGAAGTGAGATAACCTTTCTTGTCGTAAGGCATATCGACTATATTTCATAATGACCGACTAGTTCTGCTAGTCGTAGTCTTCTATAGGCGTGATGCACATACAAACATACATCGATATGCACTACATACCTGCATGGGAATCTCACCTGAGGATGCATATCACGTGTCCGGAAATGGGATGTATACTCCGGACGTCTCTGATTGCTCCCTCTCAGAACACCTAAAAGGTTTCCCTGCATGGTCAGCATCTCACCGATTCATGGCGGATCACTTAAACTTCAGCCTAGGGTGCTAAAAGACTGGGGGCCTCGGCAAAGGGGTGCCGGTGCAACTCGGTGATACGGTGGCTTTAACATGAACAGGGGAGACCCTTCTTCTACAAGCTTCCTGATGGGACAATATGACACTGGGATTGAGCCCAAACAAGTCAGATACGACCAACCATGATGTGGAATTGGGAATTGAGATTTCGGATACGAATGGCGAGAAATTTTAAAATTGACTTCTAAGTTCTTATCCGTCAAAAATCACTTTCCCAAAAAGATATCTCAGGTTAATTAAAAAAAAAAAAATAAAAAGAGAAAGAAAAAGAAAAGAGAACATAATAAATAAAATAAAACACATCAAAGCCATGGAATTCGAGACATGAGAGGGACTGGGAGCAAGTGTGAGAGAGAAAATGAAGAAAACTATTTGTCACATGAGTTTCGAGTTTCTTAGGTTACTCTGGCAATAATGATAATAATAAGATAATAGAACTAATACATGACTAATTATTGAAATAGAGAGAGGGGAAGTGGCTGGTGTATGGAGTTAAAAAAAAAAAAAAAAGAAAAGAAAAGAAAAGAAAAGAAAAGAAAAGAATAATAATAAAATAAAATAAAAATGGAGGTAATATTTGCTTGCTATAAATACATTAAATTCAAGCTATCAAAAAGAAATTATACTCCGCCAGTATGGATCTTGGGAAAGATCTGCACGCCAAAAGTTCCCAATGCACTGGCACTGGGAAATCCTTCTTACTCCTCCAATCACCAGTGTCCGATTCTTTACTTTTAGGTCCAGATCCGTAGCCCTGGATATAGCTGCGTAGAATACCGATAGTCCTCTCGCCTTTGTCCGATCCCGGCTATCTCCTTCATCGAATGATGATCTTCGAGATCTGCGACATCGTGAGCCCCAGACCTATCCTGAATATGGTAAGAGTAGCTCCAGGGTTCCCGGACTATCGCATAACTTTCCAGCTCCCCGGGCGCCCTCTAATACCCACTTTCTCTGGCCCACTGGCGATATATCACTTTACTGTCGACTGTTAAGTTAATGATGATTGGTCTCCTTCCCATTATTGTCTTCCATTGTTGGGCTCTCGCCAGATTTCCCCATCCGTGGCTTTTTTTTCCTTTTCCTTTTTTTTTTATAATTTCTCTCTCCTACACTCGATCATCAGCTCACACACAGTTACTCTTTTCTCTTCAGTGCTCTACTTCCTTTTTCTTCTCTTTCCTTCGTACACATCTCCTCTATCACACTCAGGTTGCTCCACCCCACTAATGCTCCTTAGACAATAACCGGGTACTTGCATCACAATTCCAGAGTCATTCCATGCAGCTGGAGTTGCCCGGTCTGGACTTCAGGTCTTACCGTTTTCTGTACAGAAAGGTCATTCCGCAAGAAATGTGTTCAATGCGTCTTAGCAGGCGATAACTCATCCCCGGTCCTAATTAAAAGCTCTCGCCTATATATATACTATGGAGCTTCTGCCAATTCGTCTCTACAACAGCATCTCCTCATTCCTCTCCAATCTACCTGCACCTCTGACCTTGCAACTTCTCAACTATCAAGTGAATACTGCCTCCCTTATTATTCTTCTTCATTCCTCGCAACGGACTCCCTAGGACTTGTTTTCAATTCTATCTCCGCTTGTTTCTAGAACCAAGCTCCAACGATTGTTCTTCGTGTGAACCAAGGTTCAGTGACCGAACCCAAAAAACCTTCCCTTGACCCCGACTCTAACCTTACGTGACCTGCTGCGGTAAGTGACGTGGACCAAGCCTTTTTCTTGAAACATGTTGAACTAACATGTTCGGACAGCATCACCATGGCCAACCAATGCCCAGGACATGTTTTCGCTATTGTGCAGGCCACCAATGGGAATATCCTCACCTGGCGCTGTTCTGACTGCACATCGGGGCCATTTGTGGCCATCTGGCGCTGCAAGATCTGTAATCACTGCCGCTGTAACTCATGCCACACCGCAAAGGCATGAGTAGCGGTTACACTGTTCGCCATCGGGTCTGGTATACTTCAGTAAGTAGTGGTACAAAGCGAGGGAGCGAATCCTGCTTTCCTTGTGTAACGAGAGGTTGAGGATCGACAGCTGACCCCTTCTTAGATTCAGATCCTTAAAGAAACGTTCTCGCTGCAGCAAAATCCCTGCGTGACAGCTGCAGGCGGCAACTCCCCTCCCATTCGCCTCACGAATTAACTTTTGTTCTCCCTTCTATGTCCTTAATTTTCTTCCTCCTTTTCCCTCTCGCTGTCTCAGACGCCTGCATTCCCACATTCTTGGTTTCGATCCAGAGCACGAATTAACCTCGACGGATCCTTCTCCCGGGTGAAAGGCAACCAATCAGCGTGGTTCCTGGAGTCAGATTGAATGTCTGATCGTCGATCCGCCAAGAAAGAAGGGTGACCGATCAAGGCTCGAGCGAGCGGCCCCGAATCCTTTCCTCTCTCATCTTCTCTCATCTTCTCACTCCCCTCTGATACGCATCCCTTGATGAAGCTGGTTTTCTTCAGCAAGCATGGGCCTGGAGTCAAGGTTCTGGGACGAACAAAAAGGCAATCTCCCAGAAAAAAGTTGGCCACGGGCATTTTCGGCTTCGACATACCCTAATCACCTACGACCGTGTTTGTGTTTTTCTTTTTGCTCTCTTTACTTGTTTTTGGTGCCTATTAAGAATCCATCTAGAAGATAGAAACCCAATGCGGCAACGCAAAAATCCAATCTACTACTTAATTTACCTCTTTAATGCCCACCATGTTACTGGAATATAAGTAAGTGTTAGTAACTAATTAGTTAGTTACATGGCCATCCCGCGTCTCATCCTCCAATGTCACCCGTGAAGGTAAGCTGTAACATCTCTCATAAATAGTAGGAGGCTATTATATCCCCCCATTCCCCCCAAGGATACATGACAGGACCACGCCATTCTCCACTTTCTAACGGGCAATGAAGTCACCACCACCACCATCATCCCATACCAGGAAACGTCCCATTCCATTGTACGACCTAGTACGACGGGTTTGGGGGAATGAGAGTACCACTGAAGTAAAACTGCAACCTCCGGGACAAAGTAGCTCCAACGAACCTCTCTGGTTTGACTTTCGGTTGGGAAAAAAGAGTTTAAAAAAAAAAAAAAAAAAAAGAAAAAAGAAAGAAAGAAAAATTATGGAGACAGGGGGGAAAAAGGAACACCTTCTATAAACTCAATTCGAGAGGCGTTCGTTTATGCGGCGGGAACGCTTTTCCGTTCGCTCAGACCTCCCTTATCTAAATAAACAAATATCCTAACGGGGGTTATTGGGTGAACTATGATTTTTAACGGTTTTTTCTTTTATTTTTGTTAATTTTTTTCCCTTTTTCTCTTTTCTTGTTCTTTTCTGTAGATTGTCATTTCTCATTCACCCGGATCAAAACTGAGTTTGGGAATTCTTTCTTTGATGGGTTGGTTTCTTTTTCTTTTGTTTTCTTTCTTTTGACGCAAAGTTGGTTAGCTTTTAACTTGTTGGTAAAATAAAAGTATGCTCTTCCCCGAAAAGGAGAAAGAGTTAGACATAGTTTAGGCTAAGCATTGTTACAATGGGGCCCAGTTGGACCGGTGGATGTGAGATCGTTAACCTAGCGTGCGTAGACCTTTGTGTGTGTGTGTGCATGGGGAAGGCAAGGTCTTCCCAGTGGCTTTTGTTGGACTGAGCGACGCAGGGAATTTCAGTTTGCATCGTGCCGGGAAAGAGTTCCTTTGTTGGATGAGTGGGAGTTAGGGGGAGTTGATGGTCATGGGATTAGCTGTTGTTGCGAGGGTGCTTTTCTTTTTCTCGTCTTTTTATTTTATTTAGTTATTCTTATTTTTGTGTTTTATTTTTAATGGGTCCTGAAGGTTTGGATCGGAGTGACCGTCTGGGGTGATCGACGATGCTGGGTTAGTGTTGGGATTTATATTGGGAAAGTTTTTTTTCTGGGGTTATGCCTATAATAGGTCTAGGGCGCTTGTTGGGAGATGAGTTATATGTGCTTTGAGATGTATATGAAATACTACAGTATATGTATTATGTACTCCGCAGAAGGGGTGAGATCGGCCTGAGCTCTTAAGTGCTGATCATACGATACTAACGAGCAGTATATTCGGCCGGGCTTCGAAGACTGTTCTAGAATTTGGAAGATTCGAGGAAGATCATAGTTTACTGAATTCAATAATGTCATAGCTATAGCCTGACCACTTGTGTTATGCATCGTGAAATCTTCTTGCGAAGCACGGTAAATCACTTATGAATCGCGCTTCTTACACAAATTTCAAGATATCAAAATCGTCTTAACTTCGTAAAGGATGATGTGCAAAGGGAAGCGGAACTTTCTATGCCAATATGTAGCTTTTGCTACGATTAGTGCCAACGCTGTACCCATGTGCATTGGCTTTAGAAGAGATTGCCATCATCAAATAAACCCGGAAAGTAATTTTCAAACAAGAAAAATCAGGTATAGATACTCTGTTCCCTATTAGTAAATCTCTCGCTTATACCGATCGATCGCTTACCTCGGTGATCTGGTTAACCTGAAGCCCGGGCTCGGCCATATTAGCGTCTTCCAAGAACCGAAGAGGCATCCAAACTAAATGACCCTTGATCTTGTCCAATTTCTCCCGGACTTCCTTGACAGGCATAAACGGGTCATGCAAGTGTCCCTGCTTCTCGTTGACACCGTTTCTGAATTTGTCGTATTGCTCGAAATTCTTGATGTTGTCGTCCGGATCAGCGCGGAAGAGCTGTCGATACATTTCGGTGTTGGTAGTCGCCCGTCCGGTCCACATCTCCCAGAGCGGGTCGCTCATAGGATCCATAACAAAACTGTTCTCAGGTCCCTCAAGTATCTGGTTCATGCAAACATTTGGTGGCTGCGCATTGGGGCTTTGCGAAGCGTCATAATCCTGTGCTGGGAGCAGCCCAAGGTGTTCCCTCCAGAGCTGCCGCCGGAGTGTAGCGGCTAGACGACCTGCCTTATACGGCTTGCCATCCATCATGCTGTCAATGAGGTCCTGATCCTCCACGACGATAGCCAGTTCGCTGTCGTGATATCCAAGTTGCGACTGGAAGGGTTAGCTATATCTCGGTAACTTTAAATCAGAAGGAACCTACTCGATCGTTGATGTTGGCACTGCCGCAAATAGCAATTCTGTCATCTACAATGCACACCTTTCCATGGACATAAAGCTCCTCCTGAACAAAGTTTTCCTTTTCAGCTTCCGCTTCACCCTCCCAGGGCTCATCAGACATCCTTCCACCGTTTAGCATAGTCGTGTGGGCAACCGTATCCTTGCTAGACGGTTTGTATTCGGATTTATGACGCTCGGCCTGCTCCTCATATCGCTCCAACCTTGCAAGCCGCTCTTCTTTTTCTTTCTGTGCGTCTTCATAGCCAACTTCGCCCTTATCTCCCTCTTTACCAATGGAAGGATGAACACTGTCACTCATGATGGACTCCGCAATTCCACGTTGGATATCATTGTATGTCACTCCCGCTTCCTTCTCTAGTGCTTCTAGAGCAGGGGTTTTGTTGATACGGTCATACGCGCGCAGATTGAAAACAAAGATGTGTTCTTCACCCGTTAGTAATCGTTTTGATAGAAACAAAGGTAGGCCACTCACGTTCAGGATCGATGTTGTGGTGCCTGAGTTGGCCGAAGATCGAGTGCTCGCCACGATTGATCGACTTATATTGGTAATCCATAATCGCCCGGGTGCCTGTTGCTTCAGTCTGTCTAAGATCGCCTGCAAATCCAGGAATGGCCGGAATCACAATAATCACCCGGAACTTTCTTCCTTCCCTGGCTGCACTGACGCAAGCATCGACGATGGCCTGTCCAATGGTATTGAGTATAGGTTTCTGTTGATCTCCAGTGGCCGTGACTAACAGAATCAGTAAAATGAATCGTGAAAGAGGAGCAAGTTGAACGTACTGAAAAATTGATTCTCAATGTAGACGTAGTGCTTAGCGTTGCTGATGATCTCCTTGTAAGCGTTCTGGATACTATGCTCAGTCAGGATACCGCTACTCCAGTCAGCACTGCTGCGCACAATCTGTGCCTGCGCACTGCCTTGGGCTCCACGGGGCTTCGAGGTTAGAGGAGCATAAGGATGCTGAACGTAGTCACCACAGGGGTACTTAGGCCGCTGCACAGCGACCAGGTCCTCATCTTCACCAAGGCGGCCCTCCAGCGTCAGCCAGTCAACATTTTTATCACGCTTGTACTTATCGCGCTTGATGAAGTTCCACCGTAGGACAAAGTGCTCAGCAATATCATAGACACAGTCACCCATAAGACCCATGGCCACGTCATGCCAGGGCATTCGGCCATAGTCCGCCTTACTGAGTTCGTTCGCTTGCCATTGTGCAACACTCTGAAAATCCATTATGCGATTGTTGTTAAAATCCTGTCCTGGAAAGATCTCGTCCTTCATATTTGATGGGTGAACGTCAGCCAGAGGATGCTGGTTAGCATCCCATCTCCCAAAGCACAGATCGATGCCTCCAATGAATGCCAGGGCGTAGTCGATAACAATAAACTTCTCGTGATGGGCCTTGTCATCATCAGTTTTTCGGCCGTTAAACATGTTTAGATGCATTAGCTCACCCAGTACAATGTCATGTCAGCTGCATTCTCAAAGATGTTGTGGTCTGGATGCCGCAGGATCTTGATGTTTCCATGACCAGGAGTGCCTTCTGGACAGAGATTGCGCAACGCGTGTTTCGTATGGGCCGAGTTACAGGTCAATGCTTGGTTGACCTGACTTTATAAGTGACTGGGCATTTTTCAACGGAATTGAAAGACTGACCTCCTTGTATACGATCACATAGATCTTCACTCCCGCTTCCGCACGGCGCTTGAGCACCTGGTCCAGTCGCCATTCCTGAGTCTGATACGCGGGTCTGCGTAGGAATAACTCTGGGGAAAGCCACCAGTCTTCGATGTAGATGACCTCCTTCGCATTTTCGAGAGCGATGGAAACAGCCCAAAGATAATCTAGCGCGTCAACATACCACTTCACCTTGTTGCCTTCCCGAATCGGAGCGAAGGATTTGAAGCGATGGGATTCGGCAATTGCTGTTCTTTTTTTGTCGGTTTCTTGTTCGTGCGCTTCGTCATGACGGTGATTCGGGTTGACAATGTTGAAGAATTTGCC